TCTCAGCCGGGTATGTGCAATTCTGTAGGTATTCATATCTTGCTTCAGGTTCCTGGACATTTACAAACCAGGAACTAGCTGGCGGGTCCCTTCACCTCTGTGAGCCCTTGTAACACAATGGGTGGGTTCTGTGACTTACGAGTTCCCTTCCTACTCCCAATGACATAAGAAACATCCAAACCTGTAGAGATTTTTATGAGTTTATTTGAGCCAAACTGATGACAATTGCTGGAAAGCAACATCTCAGTGGATTGAGAAAATGCTCCAAGGAATGTTAGTTTTACAGCTTATTTTATACGTTGAGTCAAAGGAGGAGACATAAGGAAGGTTGCATGAAATCCATTGGCAGTAGGTTGGGGAGGTGGGAGAAAGCGAAGCAAAGAGGTGGGGAAACCTCTGAGACTGCATAGAGACACATACTTCTTTACGTTGGTGGGTACAGGATAGTTAACATTTACAGCACATAGAGATGGTATTTGGCAAACAAGAAAACAATGAGGGGTGCTGTGGTCTCTGCTTTGCTGCTGGGTGTGCTCTGAGGGGCCCAGGAAAAGGGGGTTACTCTGACATTCCCCATGCATGTTATCTTAGACAATAGACAGGCTCACTTGTGGTAAAGACTGACCTCTGTCAAGGAAGCTATAGGCCTAGGGTGTGACTACCTGCCATGACTTGCTTTTAGTTAGAAATTTTTATGTTCAAACGATTCCATGTAGTTACTTTCGGTCTCTGAGATTGTAAGGCCACCATGCAGGCCTCCCCTGAGCTTGTCACGTTTAGTGTATGGCTCCCTTTCTGTCTACACTCCCTCTCTCTGAAAACACTTCAGGAGGCTGGGACACCCTACACTAAGTAAGGTCACCCCAGAAGGCATGCAAAGGGGCAGAGAGGGAGGAACATTTTTTTCCTGTCTCTCTGTCAAGCCTGCTTGGCCCAATACAAGGGGAGGAATACAGATTCCTGTCTAATCAGCCATTTCCTAATCAATCATAGACTCTGTGTCCTCAAGCCAAGCTTTTCCCAGTTTCCTATGTCTGTTCCTTCCTCCTTCTCTGACCGGAACAATCTTGGGGTAATGTGAGCATAATGAGCCCATGCCTGCAAAGGGCTTGGCTTATAAAAGCATCAGAAATGCTTTGGATTGTGTTCTCATTAAAATGAACAAGGCGCAAGCAGGGAGTTGCTATAGCATTCCAGACATAGGTAAGTGAGGGGTCCCCAAGGCCTGAGGCTCAGCCCTGGTGGACAGGAAGTCCAAAGGATTAGAAAGCGAAGAGAGCTCTTTGGGGATTGGGGAGGGCTGTGAGTTATAGAGCTGAGATGTCAGCAAAGGAAATGGGGCCAAATACTTGTGAACCCCTCATCTAGAGAGAGCTGAGACTCATGCTGGCAGCTGTCACTTCCCCTCCCATGGGCTGCTCTGCAAAGAACCGGAACAGGGTCTTTGTTACTTCCCACTTGCTAATGATTGCCAATTTGCGGGGCTCTTGGAGGGAGAGCAAGGTTATGACAAGTCTGTGTGCTTTTCAAGGGGGTGTTTGCTGAAGGTGGCTGTCAGCCTTGTTTGATTTAAGTCTTCCCAGATTCCCTGCAAAGGCTATAAACAGCGAGGTGATGAAATGAGCCCTGCAGCCAGAACTGGGAGGAGGCCTGGTCACAAGGGAGGGTAGAGAAGCACCATCAAGGGGTGGGGAAAAATGAGGAACATGGCAGGAAAGCCTAGAAGGCATTTCTGCTCCAGCGAGTGGAAGGAATATCTCCCCGAGGGGGCCTGAGTTGGCAGTAAGTCCAATAGCCCAACGCAGAGCCATCGTTATTCTGGCCGAGATCATCTGGGGATGCGAGGGCCTGAGGTCTGGGTCAGACGGAGTCAGAAGGTGCCCAGGAATCCTCATAAGCCCCTCCTGAGGCCCCAGTTCATGGGAAAGGCACAGTAAACCTGGTAACCTCCCAGGCAAAGTTACCCTGTAAACTGTTGGCAGATTGATGATGGGCTACAGCCTAAGACACAAAACAGGTCCAAAAAGGTTGATTTCTTAGAATACATATACAGGGGCAGGCCAAAGCAGGTTAACAGTTGTAATACAAATAAATAATACAATAATTAGTAAATAATAGTACAAGACATTGGTTAATAAAATTATATAGTTTTCAGGTGTACAATTCTACAGTATGTCATCTGTATATTGTATTGTGCTCACCACCCCAAGTCAAGTCTCCATTTATCACCTTTTACCCTCTTTTCCCTCCCCCACCCGTCTTTCCCTCTGGTAATCACAATACTGTTGTCTATGTACAGGAGTTTTGGGTTGTTTTTTTTCTTAATCCCTTCACCTTTTTCACCCAGCCCCCTAATGCTTTTCCCCTCTGACAGCTGTCAGTCTGTTCTCTGTATCTATAAATCTGTTTCTATTTTGCTAGTTTATTTTTTTCATTAGATTCCACATATAAGTGAAATCATATGGTACTTGTCTCTCTGATGGGATTATTTTACTTAGCATAATACCCTTGAGAGCCATCCATGCCTTCACAAAAGGTAAGATTTCCTTCTTTTTTTAGGGCCAAGTAGTATTCCACTGTGTAAATGTACCACAGCTGTTTTAATCCACTCAGGTACTGCTGGGTACTTGGGTCGCTTCCAAACCTTGGCTATTGTAAACAATGCTGCAATGAACATAGGAGTGTATATATTCTTTTGAATTAGTGTCACCCCAATAAATTCTATAAAAATAATACAAGAATAAACTGTGTTTTGTGTACTCACAACTGTAGGCCTACTTTTGCCCACTCAGCATAAAGGGATCCGCCACGCCCACCATGTCAGCCTTCTTTCTGCCACTGTACACGCCCCCTCCAAAGTACCTGTACATACATGCACATGTGCACACGCACATCCAGCTCCATCAAAGAGAGGTGCCCTGGAGTCTGTTATTGTGAAGAGGAAAACTCAACCAGCACTCAGGAGGCTTTGCCACTAGCTGGCTCTGTGACATTAGCCTGGCATTAAAAGTTAACTCCCCACCCCCCACCCCACCCCCGCCCTGCCAACTCAGCTTCCTTACCTGAAAAGCTGAGAGAACAGTTTCTCATACTATCAGGTTAGCTGTAGGGGGTCAAATGGGATAACGGAAATGAGCCCAGATATCCACCCTCCCTCAAATTAACTCAGAATCTCTGATGGTGCAGTGCTGACCTTGGTCTCAAGCTCCCCAATGATCCACAGGCAGGTGTAGACCCACTTCCGGAAAGCACGAAGCAAAATCATAGATTCATTCCAAAGTGTGTTGATTTGTCATTTCTCTGTGCCAATGACCGTGCTGGGGCTTTGGAAAATGCAGACAACAAGACAGACGCATTCCCCGCTCTCAGGTTTTAAACACTGGGGAAGAGAGCTGTTGGGAAAGTAATAAAAGGTGCACTGCATGCCACAGAGGGAAATACGGAGCCCGCGGAAGTAACTTAACAAGGGGCCTACTCCAGTCTGGGAGCTCGAGGAAGACCGCTGAGAGTGACATGTGAGCTGTGACCTGGAAGACGAAGCAGAGGACATTCATGGCAGTGATGGTGGCATCTTTAACTTCGGGCCACCCACAGTTCCTCCTCTGCTGAGCTCGTTCAGGGCTACCTTCACTCTCCGAGTGCTCCTTGTCTGCTTTGCCTCTTGGCTCCAGCTTGGATTTCCGTGGTCACAGCATTGGGGAAATTAGGTCACCGGTGCTATTCAGGCTGCTTCCAGGCCATTGTCAGAGCCCGTAAGGCTCTGTCACACCCTCAGTCATGGCCCGTTTAGTTCTACCCAGTTTCTTAGCATTTGTAGAACCTTGGCTCATTACTTTGAGGAGGTAGTAGGTATGGTAGCATAGATTTCTGAGTTCAAATCTCAGCTTCACTGCATATGCTGGTGCTGTTCAGCAACATTCTTAATTTCTCTGAACCTCTCTGTCTTTTTGACCCCGAAAGTGATACTTTAGACCATAAAGTTTAGGTGGTGGTTGTGGAGATTGCCTCGAAGCAAGACCCAGCCTGTCATGGCATTAAAAAAATGGAAAAAAAGGAAAAAAGCCAGACTTGGAGCTTCTACTTCCAGCCTTGCTGACTTAAAATATCCTGGGGTGTAAAGTTTACCTACTAGATAAACTATAGGCAGACTGCCAAATGCGTAGCTAAAGTTGAAAGAAAACAGTGGAAATCCCCAAAGACCAAGAGCCACCCCTCCCCCCCAAAAAACAATCTCCAATTAGGAGCTGAAACTAAATGGGTCAACAAATACAGAAGCTGGATGTCAGGAACCTAGAGTTCTGGGTGTTAGGAGGAGGCTAGGCTGTGAGTGGCACAAGGGGACAGCTGGACCGAAGACCCCAGCATAAAGCCCCAACCCTAGGAGGTGCTGCCCCAGGCCCTGCCACACTGCATCACGCTAAGACAGCCATTCTGTGTTTTTGCGGGAGGGGGTTGGCCCCAGTCTTTTCTGATCGGTCAGTCTTCCCACTGAGTGGTCAGCACCCATACCTGTGATGGAAGATTTTGAGTCTTGGCCCAGCCAGTCTGGTCCTGGAAAAAAGGGGAGCAGGGGCAAGAGGCTGGGGGGAAATGTGCGTGCCTCAGTCCCTGTGTGGCAGGGTCTGGAAGGACTCTGAGCCAGATCAAGCAACTGGCTTTAATTTCTTTTCACTTCACTAGAAGAGGGTTCAGCATGGCACATAGTGAGTAGGCAGCTGAACTGGCCTGTGTGTCTTCTCCAGCTTGTGGGAGATCGTGGAATCTTTCTTCCCAGATGTGTTGGGACATCCCGTTCCTCAGCCACTTTGATTCTTGCCTTTGTTCCTGGATTCTCTGCTTACTGTCAGGTCACTTGGTGCTCAAGTGGACTGACTTGGACCCAGGGGTGGGAGGGGGTGGGCACAGGGTGCAGGGATTGTTAATGAATGGACCAGCTAGAGAGGGGTGGGCGTGGCTCCGGGTCCCCACCTGGCGTCTGACGGCACTTGGCTCCATCACAGTGAGGTCGGCCGGTGGCGACGGAGATGCGTTGTGTGTTTCAGAAGAGGAGCTGGCTGGCGAAGAGGACATGCCGTCCTTCCCGTGCACACAGGAGGGTAAGGGCTCCGGGAGCTGCCTCTGATCTCTTCTCTGTGCTCAAAGCACCTCCTCGCTCCCAGCCTCAGGCTGGTCACTTGCTTCTCTTCATGGCTTTAAAATCCTGGCTGTCCTGCTGCTCTCTGCTTCCTGGGGTGGGAGTAAAATGACAGAGTGGCACGGGCCTGGGTTATGCAGTACAGGTGAAATCAGAGTCTGACACAAGTGCCATCTGTCTCCAGGGCTCCTTGTGAGACCTGTCTGGGACCTCTGCTGTCTCCCCAAGGCTTATCTTTCAGCTGGTCCAGAGCTGTCCCCTTCATTGTGTCCCATGCCAGCCAAGTCACCTGTCCTTCTCAGGCCCACAGGATCCAGCGTGGCATTTGGTTCACTTGAGCTGTTACTTGCTGTAGGGCTTCTGGGTGGGTTTCAGAATAGGTTGGAGCGGCTGTTCTCAACCTTGGCTGTATGTACATCGTAATCACCCAGGGATGCCTGAGACCAGCCCTCAGAAATGCTGATGTCTTTTGGTCTGGGGTGTGAACGGGGCATCAGGATTTTTAAATGTTCCTGGTGCTCCTAATGTGCAGCTGAAACTGAACAAACGTTAGAGACTCCACGACTGGGAACACTACCACCTTCCCACTGGCCATTGGCCCCCTGCCAGCATAGCCGGGAATACCTGGCTCTCTTCTTTCTCCGTACCAGGGACCACCTGGTGGACTTGAGCAATTCATTTGTTTTCCATAAGAGTTGTTGGTCACCTGCTAAGTTTGGGGACTGGTGATCAACCTTCTGGTTTGCTTGGGACTGAAGGGGCTGCCCAGGGTGTGTGACTTTTGTCTTGGCAAAATGTCCTGGTTTGCTCCCTATTGAGGAGTTCCCGTGACGTGCGACTTTCAGTGCTGAATTCAGGAAAATCCTAGGCAAACCGGGATGAGCTGGTCCCGCAGTGGGGAAGCGTGTCCTGGCTGCCCCACCTTGTGGATCATCAGTGAGGCCTGTGTATCGGCCATGTTTGCTCACAGTCCAGGTTGAATGATGATGCCAGAGTGATGGTGGTGATGGGTGTTCTTTGAAGACCCTGACTCTGGTTTCGTCTGTTCCTGAAAGCTCTAGAGCCTAGAGGAAAGGCAGTGAGATGGGTGAAGAATGAGGATCTGGAACGTGAAATGCAAGGAGACAGGCCAGAGCAGGAACGTGGAACTGACCTTTCAGGTGCAGCCTCAGCCACTGGTCTAAGACACTGTGCTCTTTTTGTCCCCCCACAGGCCAGCTGGGGCCCCGCTGCAGCCGCTGCCAGAAGAACCTGTCTTTGCACACATCCGTGCGGATTTTGTACCTCTTCCTGGCCCTGCTCCTGGTGGCTGTGGTTGTGCTGGCCTCTCTGGGTGAGTGCGGACTCCCGGCCGCATCTGGCTGGTCCAGGGCTCCCTGACCCCTACGCCCTGCCGCGCTCACCCAGGGCACTGCTGATCAGGGCTCCAAAACTCCCCTGCACAGACAAACGCAGATCTCTGCGGCAGGGCCCGCCACCAGGGGATCTCAATGCCTGATTCAAACTGCGAAGACTGGCTCCTGATTTCTGGTCAGTAATTGGTGTGAGGCTGTGAGCAAGGCCCTTCCCCTCTCAGGACCTCTGTTTCCCCTTGGACAAATGAGAGGCCACGACTAGATCAGCTGTTCCCAGTTTTAACTCCATGTTAGAATCACTTGGGAGATTTAAAAAATATTGATGATTGGTCCCTTCCCTGGATAATGGAATTAATCCGTATCTTTAAGCTTTCCAGATGATTCTGTTTACATCCAGAGTTGAGGTCACTGGATCGGGCGATTTCTAACCCCTTCCATGGTCTTTGCGACTGTTTCTCAAAGCGAGGTTGGATGGCTACTTGCGTCACGATCACGTCAGTATTTGCTGAAGTGCAGATTCCTGGGTCTCATGCAGACTTACGAACTCAGAGTCCCACAGGGGAAGCCCAGGGATCTGAAGTTTGTGCTTCTCTTACACACTGCAGTTTATGTGAGTGGCAGCTGACCCAGGTGAGGGCACACAGCTAGATTCAGGGAACTTCTGCCTTCTGGAAGCTAATAGTTTATGGTAAACTGATGAACACAAATTTGATGGCTTCTCACTGCAATCCCATGCCATTTGTAGCTTCTGATTTTAAAAATCCAAGCTTTTTCACTGGAGAAGCAGTAAGTTTGTTTGCTCTAATGGGCTAGACATTAAAGACAAGACTGGGACCAGAGTAAGACAAGAGAGGCGTGGAGGGTGCTCATTCTAGGTGCTGACGCTGCCCTCATCCGACCCTTAAGAGGGAGTGCCTGGTTCCGGATAAACTAAGTCCTCACTTAAAGCCATCGACAGGTTCTTGGAAACTGCGACTTTAAGGGAAACAACATATACTGAAACCAGTTCCACCATAGACTGATGGATATAAACAAGAATTAAGTTCCCATATTATATTTCTGGTCACAAAAATATCACCAAACTTCTAAATAAAGACCCGAAACACTGATAATATTAAACATTGAAATAAATGTGAGTTGTACATACATTTAAGAAAGATGAGTAAGAACAGGTAAGGGTGTTTTCCAACCTGACAGCGCCAGGTCAGGGCTGCAGGCGGCCAAGCCCCTCCCCCAGCCCCGTGCGCGGAGGCAGTACGCCCTGGCCAGGCCGCCCCTCCGCCCCTCCGCCCCTCCGCCCCTCCGCCCCTCCGCCCCTCCGCCCCTCCGCCCCTCCGTCCCAGGGAGTCCCATCACGCACATCCTCACTCAGAAGTCCTCGGCTCTCTCAGCGGGTCACTATTACTAACTCAACCTCGACAGCTCTGCCCAATGCAATGGTAATTAAGGCCCAGAGATTTAAAAAAATTGGAATAATAGCAATTTGGAGCTGGTAAGAACCTTAGAAATCATTTATGAGTAGCTTCAGACTTTCTTTTTACAGATGATCCAGTTGAGCTCCAGAAAGATTAATTGACTTGCCTGGAGTCACCCCTCAACACACTTGAGGCCAATCTGGACTAGAAGTTGAATTACCCAACTCTCTTGGTGGGGCTGATTCCATCCCCTAACACTTGACCTTCGTAGGACCTGTGGGAAATATCTTGCCCAGCCTCCGTCCAGTCTGTGCCGTTCTCTCACTACGAGGCCCAGCCAGGCACCTGACGAAGAAGGCCGGGGACCCTGGTGCTGCCCAGCTGCGCTCTAACCACTGCCCGCCCTGCGCCTGCGTAGGGGGTGAGGCTGCCCATGCGGTGGGAACCGGAATCACTTTTCCAGGGGTGATTTGGCGACATGTATCAAGGACTCCAAAAACGTTAACACCCTTTGGCTTATTCATCCGATTTATAGCAATGTATCCTAAGAGATAAACCATGTGTACACAGTCATCGTATCCAGGGATTATTTATAGGATCAAGAATTGCTCAGATTTACAGATCGTTTCATTTGTAGGCTCAGAAAGGGAGGTACTTTAAATGTCTCCAACATTAAGAGATTTTTATGTAATTGTTGAATCAATTATATAGAGTGTGTTAACAGACATTAGAAGTAATGATTTTAGCCCTGGCTGGTATGGCTCGGGGGATTGAGTGCTGGCCTGCAAACCAAGGGGTCGCTGATTCGATTCCCAGCTGGGGCACATGCCTGGGTTGTGGGTCAGGTACCCAGTTGGAGGCAGGTGAGAGGCAACCACAGTTGATGTTTCTCTCCCTTTCTTTCTCCCTCCCTTCCCCTCTTTCTAAAAATGAATAAATAAAATTTTTTTTTAAAAAGTGTGATTTTAAAACAATTTAAACCTCAATGAGAAAATGTCCATGACATGGTACCAATAACACAAAATGAAATAAATGAGATATTCAGAAATCTCAATTTTCTGTGTTGTTGTTTTCTAAAAATGTGTACATTTATGTAGCTATAGAATGGTGGAGATAAATAAGGTTATAAAAGCTACACAGAGATGTGGATGGCAATTATCTCTCAGTGGTAAGATTAAGAGTATTTCTTTTCTTTTTATATTTTTTCCCCTCCTTTTCCCTATTCTATCCTGTGGTCATATCCTGCCTAGTTCTGAAATCTGGGGAGGAGAGAATTTATATATATATATATGTATATGTGTATATATGTAATTATACATTATAATATATACATACATAATATATACATATATCTGATAGATAAATGTATACATAACTATATACACTTAAAAATATATATAAACATATATAAACAAATATGTATGTCTATAGGCAGCTACAATTACCCAGACACGTATTTTCAGGAGATGTGTGACGAGCTCTGGGCATAAGAAGAATTTTCCCTCGCCACCACTGGGAAGCCCCATGGAAGAAGGGTGAACGGTTTTGGTTGCAGAAGGGCCGATAAAAATGCCCTTCCCTGAGCCAACGCCCTGCCCCAGTGTCTCACTTGTTTTTGCCCTACAGTTTTCAGGAAAGTAGACTCTCTCTCAGAAGACATCTCCCTGGCCCAGGCCATTTATGACAAGAAGCTTGTGTCTGTGCAGGAAAATCTCCAGGGACTTGGTAAGTGTCCAGTGTCCAGATGTGCTGATAGCTGTGATAGGCAACTGATGTCAACTGACATAGGGCGAGGGCCCCCTCTTATGCCGTGGGCCCTCCATGGCCTGGTACCTGGAGCAGGGCAGCCTCCCCCGACCTAGACAAAGGGAAGGACAGCCATGGCTTTCCGCTCTTTGGAGAGCCACCCATTGGAGGAGAGCAGCCACCCTGGGGCTGGAGGTTCTGTGTGCGGTACAGGTCTGGCCAGAGCCTACAGAGAGGGAAGGAAGCCCAAGACAGTTCAATTCCCCATTGTCTGCCTGTATCTGAAATTATCTTTAAGACCTTCCAAAGGTCTCAAATAGACCTCTTGATAAGCCGGCCCTTTTCTCCTCACTGCTTAAAGCGTACAGGATTTGTGTCACTCTATCTCCTGCTTTACCAAGGGACATTCTGGAGCCATGACAGAAGGGGTTAGAGGTGGCCTGCTGTCATGGAAAGAGGAAGCCCTGTCCCACCACTGTCGATGAGTATTTGTCAAGCCACTTCTAGGTGCCTCATTTCTTATCAGTCACAGCAGAAAAATTCCTGCATCATTTTCTCCACAAGTTTAGTGTGAGAGGGTCAAATCTGATAACAGATATAAAAGTATTTGGAGAAATTTAAAAATAAAATGTAAATGGGAGGTTCTTGACAACCTCAGAAATGTTAGGAAGGTATATTCCCGAGAATTTGGTGGCGAGACGGAGAAAATATCCTAAATCCTACACTGCAAGTCAGTTGATAAAAATGATTTTAGAGAGATGGCAAGGCACTTCCAAAAAGGATTTCATAGCAGGACTTAGGAAAGGAAGAGGAATCAGAAAGCCACTTGCCGATTCATTATGCTCTGAAATATTTCGTTTCAAGAAGCCTACCTTGTCCCATGATCCTTCAGCAACTAAAATGTTATTTCTTTCTCCTGAAGATCTGAAAGCCCCGAACAACTGCTCTTTCTGCCATGAGGCTGGGCAGCTGGGGCAAGAGATCAGAAAACTGCAGGAGGAGCTGGAGGGGATTCAGAAGATGCTTCTGGCTCAGGAGGTCCAGCTGGACCAGACCTCCCAGACCCATGAGCTGCTCTCCACCACCAGCAGTCAAATCTCCCAGGAGATGGGCAATTGTTCCTTCTCCATCCACCAGGTCAATCAGACTCTGGGGATCTTCCTGACTCAGGTGAGAGGCTGGCAGGCCACCACAGCCGGCCTGGACCTTTCTCTGAAGGACCTCACCCAGGAGTGCTATGACGTCAAGGCTGCAGTGCACCAGATGAACTTCACCGTGGGGCAGACCTCAGAATGGGTCCATGGGATTCGCCGGAAGACGGACGAGGAAACCCTGACCCTCCAGAAGATTGTCACTGACTGGCAGAACTATACCCGGCTCTTTGGCAGCCTGCGCACCACCTCGGCCACCACCAGAGAAGCAGTCAAGAACATCCAGGCCACCCTGGGGGACACATCACAGCACATCAGCCAGAATTCTGAGAGCATGCATGACCTGATGATGCAGGTCATGGGCTTGCACCTGCAGCTGGATAACATCTCATCGTTCCTGGACGACCATGAAGAGAACATGCACGACCTGCAGTACCACACTCGCTATGCCCAGAACCGCACGGTGGAGAGGTTCGAGACGCTGGAAGGACGCATGGCCTCTCATGAGATCGAGATTGGCACCATCTTCACCAACATCAATGCCACCGACAGCCATGTGCACAGCATGCTCAAGTACCTGGATGATGTGCGGCTGTCCTGCACGCTGGGTTTCCACACCCACGCCGAGGAGCTCTACTACCTTAACAAGTCTGTCTCTCTCATGCTGGGCACCACGGACCTGCTCCGGGAGCGCCTCAGCCTGCTCAGCGCCCGCCTGGACTTCAACGTCCGCAACCTGTCCATGATCATGGAGGAGATGAAGGCCGTGGACACACATCATGGGGAAATCCTCCGCAACGTCACCATTGTACGAGGTGAGAGCGAGATCTGGGCTGGGTTCCTAAAAAGCTCCCAGAGGGCCTTGGTCATCTTGCCAGACCCAGAAATACCTGATTGCAGGCAAAAATCCTAGTGGGCTAGTACAACCCTGTTGGGCAACTGGCAGTTTTAATGCACTTACAAACCTCTTTTGTAAAGGTGTTACGGTTCTTAATGTTGCCTGTCATACATATCTGCATTTTCACATATGGATTTGTTTAATGGCTCCACAGAGAAAAACAGGTAGACTTTGTCTTCTGGAAACTGTCTGCTCTTGTTTTCTGCCTTCCCACCCTCTTACCAGTGCTCTCAACCATCTGGCCCTCAGACACCCATCATTCTGATACTATCTTCTCCTATCTCACCCCTGCATTAGTCAGCGTTCTCCAGAGAAACACAACCAATAGGAGAGAGACTAAGGAATTGGCTGATAGGGTTATGGAGGCTGGCAAGTCCCAAATCTGCACAGCTGATGTCCTAGTTCCTGTCCAAAGACTCAAAGCTGCTGTAGAACGAGGGAGGGATGACGTGTCAGTGTGAAGACTGTCAGGTCAGGCAGGAGAATTCTCTTGCTCGGGGAACAGTCAGCCTTTTGTTCTATTCAGACTTTCAACTGATTGGATGAGGCCCACCCACATTGGGAAGAACAGTCTGCTTTACTCAGTATGGATTTAAACGTTAATCTTGTCCATAAACATCCCTACAGGCACACCCTGAATAGCGTTTGACCAAATATCTGGCCACAACCCAGTCAAGTTGACACATAAAATTAATCATCACAAGCCCACCCCTTTTCAACTTGGCACTCACACATATCTCCTTAAATCATACTTAATCCCCAAATGAAGACGATAACAAGGTCATAATTTCATCTACTGTACATGATGTAACTATCCCATGTGCAACCAAAAACAACACACTGACCTCCTCCCCAAAAGAGGAGGTAGAGTGATTCGGTGATGTTTACTCTTCTACTTTTCTTTAAATTGTTTCTTCTGTTGCAGGTATCTCAATTTCTTTTTTCCCTTTTGCCCCCCTCCACCCACCCCACCCCTCTCACCCAACTCTTCTCCTTAATATCTCATAACTTAAATACTATGATATAAAGATAACAATATTTATATACTGTGATATAAAGTCAATACATCTTATACTTTATGTTACATGATAAAGGAATAAGACAAGGAAGCAACAAAGACATTCTATGTATTACATATATTTATATATATTAATAACACAATAAGGGGGAAATACTCTTGATAATCACAGTCTTCATTTCTGTAACTGGTCACATGTTCATAGCTGGTATTTATAACTAAGTACCTTCTTCCACTGCCCATTCCATGTTCCCTTTGCCCTCAGCAAGCAACTCAGTTGGTTGCAACTCTAGGGTGACCCAAACCTTCATTCCTGAAGGCTCATTTGTAGTTCTGCCTGGATCGGGTTGTTGTAGTTTTCCATTGACCTTAATCACAGGGCATGGTACTACTAAGAGACATCCTAAGCGATCTCCTGTACTCCAGACATACGCCTCCATTGTGGAGTGGCAGCCCAATTTCTCCTTGGTAGTCAGGATCAGTCATCCCAGTCAGCACAGCAACTTCTTTACCTGTTAGTTCAGAGGCACGAGGAGCCCTGAGTGCCTGGGAGGCAGTCTCAACTTCCCATTCAATGGAATCATTGTTGTATCTCCTGGCAGAAACATTCTTCCCTTTGGAACCAAGATCTCTAAGCCAGCAGAGCATAAGGGTGTAGGAACAAGAAGCAAGAATTTTGCTAGTGGGTCACTGAGGATAACAGTAAGTGGTACCACTCCCATTTCCACCCCGATCCCTGGATCTGTGAATCTGGGCTATCAGAGGAGCAGCACCATATATTGGACACGAACTCAGAGCATATATAGCCCTGAAAGTGCTTAACCCTAACTGGCACTGTAACTAAGTCTTGAAAAGGCCATTCCACCTGCCCCCCAAGCCAGCTGCTTCAAGATGACAGGAAACATGGTAACACCAGTGAATTCCATGATCATGGGCCCACTGTCACACTATGGTTGCCGTGAAGTGAGTTTCTAGATCAGAAGCAACCTGTGTACAATGCCAGGATGGGCAGTAATGCATTCTGTGAGTACATGGATGGTGTATTTGGCAGATGCATTGCATGCAGGGAAGGCATATCCATATCCAGAGTAAGTGTCTCTTCTAGTAAGAACAAAACACTGCCCCCTTCCAGTATGGAAGTAATCTGATGGAATCAACCTGCCACCAGGGAGCTGGCTGATCCCCCTGGGGAATGGTGCCATATCAGGGACTCACTGTTGGCCCCTTCTGTTGACAGGTTGGGCTCTCAGCGGTGGTTCTCACCACAATAGCCTTGTTGACTGGAAATTCGTGTTGCTAAAACCATGAGTAACCTCCAAGTCTGTCACTATGGCCACTATGAGCCCATTGGGTGATGATGGGGGCTGGGGAAAGACTGGACTCAACAGGTCAGGCTGTCTCATCCACCTGAGTATTAAAATCTTCCTCCGCTGAGCTCGCCCTTTGGTGAGCATTCACATTGGACACAAATATTCACACGTTTTGCCCATTCAGAGAGAACTATTCACATACCTCTTCCCCAAATTTCATTCCAACCAATTTTCCAATTGTGTTCCTCCCACGCCCCTGACCACCCAGCCAAATCATTGGCCACAGATCGTGAACTGATATACAGTAAGTCCTCACTTAATGTTGTCAGTAGGTTCCTGGAAACTGCAACTTTAAGTGAAATGACGTATAACAAAACCATTTTTACCGTAAGTTAATTGATATAAACACAAGTTAAATTCCCACAGCATATTTCTGGTCACAAAAACATCAACCAAACTTCTAAATAAAGACTCCAAAAACACTTCTAATATTAAACATTGAAATAAATGTGAGCTCTACATACATTTGAGAGAAATGAATAAAATCAAGTAAGAAAATGATTCCCAACCTGCTTATTCCAGTTCAGGGTTGCAGGTGGCTGGAGCCGCTCCCTAATGCTCTGGGTCCCACCCTGGCCAGGACATGCTTCCACAGCAGGGCCACTCACGCGTCCACACTCACTCAGACTGGGACCATGTAGAAGCGCCAGTAACCTAATGTGCACGTCTTTGGGGTGTGGGAGGAACTGGAGCCCCGGGAGAAAATCCATGCAGACATGGCAGACCGTACCAGCTCCACACAGACCGCGACTCTGGTTGGGAACTGACTTTTTCTTTCTCATCAACATTATAATGAAATGACATGATTCAAGGACCAAGCAAACAGAACAGCCAGGCGTGCTGCCAAAAGCTCTGCCCCCCGGGAGGCTATCCCTTCACCCCTGTCCTTCCGGGATGTCCCAGAGAGGGGCTGCGAGGCTGCAACTCTCCACTTTGAGGTGACGCCTGCATGTTGTGCTGGATCGAGTCTCCTCGTCCCTGTCTACTGATCGTGAGGCACTCCTCATGATGCCACAGAGAGAAGGCAGTGCCACAGGACTGGGGCCCATGGGCATTTGGGGCACTTCTTCATACAACTTACTTGTTGTACCTTCAGAGCCTGCTCAGGCCCAATCACCTACGTACATTGTCTGTTGGGTGATGGAGTGCGGCTCTACACAGCCAACTGTAGGGCTTGGTGGGTCGATAACACCCAGGTCACGATGGGCAGCTTAGGTTGCATGGTAACTTTGTGGCCCATGGCTAAGCATTCAGTCTCTACCCAGGTCCAACAGCAGGCCAAGAACTATTTCTCAAAAAGAAAATAGTTATCTGCTGAGGATAACAGTGCTTTGCCCCCAAATCTTAAGGGCCTGCACTGCAGTTTACTTGTAGGGACACGCCAAGGGCTCCAAACAGCATCCCTGTCTCCCACGGCCACTTCAGGCGCCGTCGGACCTGCTGGGTCAGATGACCCAAGTGGCAGAGCAGCTTGTACGGCAGCCTGGACCTGTCGCAGAGCCTTCTCTTGTTCTGGGCCCCCTCGAAACCTGCAGCTTTTGGGGTTACGCAGTAAATGGGCTGGAGTTTCATACCCGAATGAGGGATATATGTTGCCTCCCAAACCCAAACAGGTCCGCTAGGTGTGGTGCCTGCTTTTTGATTGTAGGAGAGGCCAGATGCAACCATTTATTCCTCACCTGTAAAGGGGTATCTGAATATACCACACCCACAGGACCCCTGGAAATTCCTCCAATGTGGCAGGACCCTAAAATTTGTCAGATTTGTTTCCCAACCTCTGACACATAAATCTCTTACAAATAGAGCTGTGACAGAGTGAGCTACTATTTACTTGCCCACTATGTGCATTCAGCATAATGATGTCAGTGTAGTGGATCCATGTGCTATCTTGTGGAAGAGAAAGGAAAACAAGATCCGTGCAACCTAAGTTATGACAGAGGCCTGGAGCGTTGATAGGGTCTGAGGCCGGACCGTGAAGGGACCATGCTGGCCTTACCAGCAGAGAGCAGAGTGGGCCTATGGACTGGGATGGAATGGAGCAAAAAAGCGTTTGTTAAATGTAATCAAGTATCAGGGGGCACGGTCATCTGCTCAATCCTGGAACCACCTCTGGCACAGGAGCTGCAGCCAGGCCCACCACCTGCTTAAGCAGACAGTGGTCCTCTGTCTTTCTCAGACCTGCCACCCTTCTGCCCAGGCCGGAGAGGAGAGATGGGTGGGGATGTGGTGGGAACCGCTACACCTGCATCCTGATGGGGGCGCTATTCCCTGCAGCCCTTCCTGGAACCAGGAACATGGCGTCACTTTGGCTCACTGGTGTCCTAGGTAGGGGCAGTTCTAGTGGCTTCCGCTTGGCCTTTCCCACAGAACATCCCTCGTGCCACAGGCCAGGGGACCAGTGTGGGGATCTGCCAGCTGCTCGGCGTGTCTGTTCCAGTTACACAGTCCAGACCCGGGGAATCACCACAGGATGGTGCTGGGGGCTCACTGGGCGCACTGTGCGAGGGGCTGGAGCCAACACCCCGTTGG